GAAGATGAGAAAAGAAGTCAAAGAGGTGATGGCGCGCCATAACGGCAATATGGCGTACGAGGTGCTGCAGGAATTAACATATATGGAAATGGTTATTCAAGGTTAGTTGTTATTTATTAAAGTATGTTTATGTATGATTTAGTTAATAATTTCTTGTGATTGTGATTAAATTTTAGTAAATAAGTGGGTAGCAAATTTATTTCCTTGACTATAAGTTAGTCCTTTTGCAATACTAGAGGTTGTAGCACGAAAATTTGCGAGAAACTATTCGTAACGTTATCGAAAATTTCCATTAGATTTGTGCTGCCCATATCGGGTGTAAAGTATGACAAACATATCGCCCCTGCTGTGTTTTACTACTTTACTCCACACATTAAGCTTACAACAGCAAGCTTGAATATATTTCAATTAATACAGAAATGTAGTTCATTCGTGCGACATGATTTGTGTTGCAGAGACGCTGCGCCTGTACCCGCCGTTCCCCAGCATCCAGCGGATGTGTACAAAGGACTACACAATACGGGGAACAGATATTATCGTTGAAAAGGGCACAATAGTGCTCTTCCCGACGCTTGGAATACAAAGAGACGAACAGGTTCTTTTTGTTTGTTTGTTGTGTAATTGGTAACGCATGCCTTTGATGATTTTTACATCTATTTGTTTTATAATAAAGATATTTAAATAACATATAGACGAGGCATAGTGAATAAAAATGTTCACCGGTACTTTCTCTGATAGGTACTATGTCAGTTATAAAGTTGAGTGCAATCTCGTGTCCTTTCATTATACAAATTCAGATAAGCTCACTAACTTTCGCCCGCGACTCCGTACGCGTGGAATTAAAAAAAAATGAGTAGCCTATGTGTTCTTCCAGACTATCCTCCACATCTGTACTAAATTAGGCAACAAACTGTAATAAATATCCATCCATCTAAACTTTCGCATTTATAATATTAGAATGATAAGAATCAAAGCGAGATTTATAGTTATGTGCTAGTTTCGAATGGGCCGGCACGCCCGGTGCAATACCACGACCACACAGAAGACAGGCGTGAAATGAAAGCAATTCCGTGTTTCGTCTGTTGAGTGTGGTGCCGGAGGCCTAATTTAAGTCCCTTTCTCTTTACCGCCCTTTTCTTATAAGGATAGAGGATGGGAAGGGAAAGTGGATTTCACGGAGGAGGAGATACATAGGAAGGGGAAATATCCTCTATATGTGCATCTCCTCCTCTGTCGGATAAGGGTAGGTAACGCATATGCAATTGCGGATGTCTATGGGCAGCGGTCGCTTCGCCATTTTGGCGGATTCAGGTGGCCGCTTGCTCGTTTGCCACCTTTTGTTATAAAAAAAAAGTTTAGTTTAGTTAGAGAATACGTACTAAAGGCTATGACTTTCCTGCAAGACTGTACTTTGCAAAAATAAACTTTAAATTTTATAATTTACATTACTTTGGCTTATTAATTAATTGTTCATCTTTACTGTATCTACTCGTATATCTATCCTAATATTATAAAGAGGAAAGATTTGTATTTTTGTATGTATTGAAATAACTCAAAAACAACTGGGCCGATATTAAAAATCTCACCGTTAGAAAGGTAATTTATCTATGAGTAACATAGGCTATATTTTTTAATTTCACGCGGGTGAAGTCGCGTGCAG